TGTGTGTGTGTGTGTGTGTGTGTGTGTGTGTGTGTGTGTGTGTGTGTAACGTCTTCAAAACGCAGTCTGCTTGGATCGATGACGCCTCCGTCAGAACGCTACAGAGTAGTCTGTCAACTAGATTTACTTTCACGTCTCGACTGAACCCTGATACGTTTAAAGGTTTTACAAATCCTCTGTGGTGGCGCTGCGAGGGGGATGCTTGCTGTAATAACTTTAGCAGACGCGTAGAGCAAAAAAAAAAAAAAAAAAGGTTTGTAATTCCCGTGTTGAATTCAGAGGACATTTGTGATCTCTTTCGACACTTTTTTATAAACAGGATTTATAAGTCTGTGCGCGTGCCTGCCAAACTTGAAAGGAAATTTTTAAGTGGCTTCTTTACAAGACCTGAACTGAAACCTTATGATGCAACTGAAATTTTATTGATGCTTATGCTACATAATAACTTTTAAAAGATGCCTATTAAAACACAGTGGAAGAAGAAAACACATGGTGAAGCAGGCATCAAATTAAGTAAATGCATGATTTTATTAGAAATCCTTGATGCATTGTTATTTTAAGCCCTGCTTGGAATCTGTTTGCTGGCATTCAAGCATTTAGCCAACCTTAACATGTGGGCAGCATTGAAGACCACGTCAAACTCCGAGTTGTCCAGCTCCGCAGCCTGCTCTGCCATCTCCGCAGCCTCACCAAGACGAGACTGCTCCAGCAGGAACTGGCCTGCATGGGACGGAAGAGCACATTTGTTTTTAAGGAGAACTGAGCTACAAGCGTTCAGATCACAACTTGGACCCTCTTTTTTTTTTTCTTCCCTTCTCGTTGTTTTTCTTCTATACTGCAAACAAAGAGATGGAAATAAACTCATATTTTCTGTTTAGTCAGCCCAATTATTTTTTTTTTCTCCCATTAATTCAACATTTTATTTATACAGGCTAGTCTCATTAAGCCTCGGACTCCTTTACAAGAGAAACCTGTTTTTTTTTTAAACAAAGAACACAGATGAGGTAAAGACAACAATGACAATGGCAGACAATCACATTAAAAAGCATATAAATTAAAAAACATGAATGGAAGAAAATTATGTTTAAAAAAAACAAAAAAAACCCGAAATGAACATCTACAATGTAAAGTGATATAAAATACTAAACAGGAACATGTCTGTGTTGCTTTTTGCCAGGAACTCGGCAGATGTTTGAAGCCACTTAGAGGTCAAGGTCAAGAGCTTCAGATCTTTTAGCAAGATATTCCAGGAAACAGGAGTGGAGCAGGAGAAGGCCCTTTCTGTCTTACAAATCATGACTGGATGATGTCAAAAGCAGACTGTAAAAGCTGGAAAACCTTAGCAACTGCTCTAGCTCGACAATAAACTACAGTACTTTGTCGTCGGTATAGAAATGTAAGGATGCATCAGGAATGATCTATAACTTATGTAGATTGTGAAGAGTGTGGGTCCTAAGACTGAGCCTTGTGGTACACCATTAACTGATAAGTGGAAGAAGTACCATTATGTTGAGCACATTGTCTCCGATGCCTGAGTTTCAGCCTGAGTTGCTTTGGCTACTATTAACCAAGTAGTAAGATCTTAATGTAGCAGAGAAAGTGGTACTGAGTGCTCCTCATGCAACACCGAGTCTGTCTTTGTCTTTGATTTGTTTGTTTTTTCTCCTTTTTTGTCAGGCTAAGCTCAAACTGACGAAAGTTTCATAAAAGTATCTGACAGGCAGGAAGTGCCTGAGGAAGAAAAATAAAGACAAATTGGAGAAAGTGAGACTGGAAGAGTGGGGTGTAAATATTGCGTTTGGCATCGACTGAGAACAAAGATGCACGTCTGTTCGCTGTCTTGCTTTTAAGCGAATTTGATATCAGCGCACGTCGGGCCATGTGAGGGACTGTTTACACCGGGACGTGTCACTGAGCACAATGGCCGGAAAGAGGATATTGTCAAAGCTTTCACCTGCTGTGTCCTCAACACATGCATGCCTTTGTGTGTTTATCTGCTTGTGTTGTAACATGGAATGATTTCATCAGCCCAAACAAACATCACCCATACAAGCTAAGATGGAATGTAAAAGTAAAGGCTTCAGAAGAGGAAATGGCTCGGTCCAAAGACAGCAACAAACCTGGAGGTACTGATCAACCTAAACTAAAAGATCTTCAACCAGAAGGAACTGACGGATAAGAAATGGGACATTGAATGATGGTGGTTGTAGCAGAGTGGGACAGATTTAATTTCCTGTCAATATACGAGGGAGCAAACTGATATGAAACACTGCACTAACAGAAGCGCATCAGCAGCAGAAACACGGTGTCACGTTAACTTTCTGTTAGGAATAGTAAACCACGTCTTGTCTAAACAGAACAGATCTATGCTTCTGCACGTGCTTGTACCAGCTAAAATTCGAACAGCTCCAGCACCTCCAGGATCAAAACTAATGATAAAGTAAAAGCTGCAATAAAAGCTAAGCCAGGGATGATATGTGGGATTTATTACCCAGCTTTGATGCTTTTTTAAATTTTATATCAAAATACATGAGCAGGAGGCCTGGACATAATTTAGTTTGTGACACAGACTCAGATGGGAAATTGTTTTGTTTTTTTTCTTATCGATTTAATTTTAGGTTTAATAACAGTTCTGCTATTGTTAAAGCAAACCTGAGTATTTATAGATAAAATGGAAAAAAAATTTAATTAAAAAAATAAAACAGGCCAAGAGATTTGACAAAGTCTGCTCCTGCCTCATCCAAAACCTGTTTATTACCTTTTTTAGACTTTATTTTATTCAGTTTTATAATATTGCATTTACATGTGAATAAAGGAGTTGACCGCAACAAAATTCATTTTAGTGGAATTTTACAAGAAACAACAAAAGCTGTTTGAGAAAACACTTTGTGACAGTGGAGATGAAAAAACATAAAATAAACACATGCTCAGTGATAAAGAGAGAAGGTTAACTATGTGGCAGTGGTGCTTGATAGTTTGAACCTTTCAGAATTTTCTCTATTTCTGCATAAATATGAATACAGTAGTCTTTCGCTACTTCGTGGTTCAACTTTCGCAAACTTGCTCATTCACGTTTTTTCAAAAATAAGATTGGACATAACACACAACTGGCTGATAGATGAATGAGCTGCATGATCGGTGTGGATTTATAATAAATTAATTTAAATGATTTCTGCTGCACCTGTGTGCAGTCCACAGGTGCAGGGAGAAGCTTCCTCCTGCAGCATGTCATGATCTCCACTCTGCAGCGGAGAGGTGGGCGTGGCCAAGAGCGCAGCCAGTGGCAGAGGGTGGCGATCATGACAGCCTGTGCTCATTTAGAACGTTGTTTAGAATATTACAAGAGTGTGGGAAGGGTTTAAACGCCTTAATTAAAATAAAATATATATATAATCTCTAGTACTACTGTTCCTGTGGTTTTTCACTTATCGATTGGGGGGGGCTGAGAAAGGAAACCCCTGCTATAAACGAGGGATTACTGTATATTTTCCTCAATAAATAAATGACCGTGTATATTTGTCTAATTTGTTTAACTGGGTTCTCTTTATCTACTTTTAGGACCTATGTGGAAAATCTGATGTTTTAGGTCATTTATGCAGAAATCTAAAAAATTCCAAGTGTTCACAAATTTTCAAGCACCACATTGCAAATAAGGGATGAAATATTTTTAGATTTGGCAAAATTCTGACCAAACTTTCATGAGTTTAAACAAGCAATGTTTTAAATTGTACTATATTAACAATCAGCCCTCCAAAAGCAGTTAAGTTCTGATAGATTTAATAATTTAGTATTGATACATGCAGCCCTAATTACTTTATTCCAACAAGCTGATCAAGTGCCTGTCATTACATGCTCTGATATATTTCCTCACCATAGTGCATGTAGCAGTTTCCTTTAGTCCGATCCAGTTGAATTGCCCTCAGATAGTACTTCTCTGCTTCAGTCTTCCGGCCCTAAAATAAAAGACGAATGCAAATCAGTTAATTAAAATAATCCAGCTGTTTTCGATGATCAGAAGTCTGAAAACATCAAGTTTGTATAGTTTAGCTAAGTGTGTCGTGCTTTTCGACAATATGGATCGTCAATGTCTTACCCTAATGTAGGTGAAAACAAGCGCACGTTTATGAAATGTATTGTATTAACTGAATTGGTTAAAGTGTCAACACTCTGACTGAACATATTGCGTTACAAATGTAGCCCTGTAAATGATCAGAGGGTAATTTATGCTAATGAAGAAGAAGCTATCCATGCTTAACCTTTCAAGATAAATGTCCAATGTGTATGTGTGTGTGTTGGAGGGTGGGGGGGGCAGCCAAAGGTCTCCTGCTCCTGTGAGCACATGGCTCTATATCTTCTGTTTCCTGTTTCATGCCGCAGCACTGATTGCTTCCACATTGCTAACGGACTTGCCGTTCAGTAAGAAATGAGCGGGCTGAGCATATTAGCGTTGCCTCATTAGTTTCTTTCCATGTTCGCGTTCGCTGTAAATGAATAGAGGAATTTCTGGGCCTGGGTATTTTATCTCAAAATGTCTGAGTCTTTTGCATTAAATCAAACCTCCCATCCAAACATTTATCAAAACTGTGTCATCACTGCATATTTGTAAAAAAAAAGAAAAAAAGGTTTCAGTTCTAATGTTAAATCAATGATGGTGATACATTTGTCACGTTAGGAGTTACTATATCTACTTAAACATATTTGTTTAGAGCCTTAAAAAGTCATCATGGTAAAAGTAGTGTACAAAAGTTGTACAATACATCGTTAGAAATAGACCATGATGCACTGCAGCCTGACCCAACAGAGCAAGCTAAATGAGGCTAATGCTTGAAAGTGCTTATTATCTAGGTGTCTTTATTGCAAAGTGACCCATCTTCATCTGTCTGAGCAGTGAGACCTGAAAAAATATAAGAAAAATGTGAACTCATTCTATTTTTGAAACCCTTAACAATTCTGTGCAGAAGTATTTTGTAGGTGATGATAAAAATACAAAATATATTTAAACATTAAAGAGTGTGATATGCTTGCAACTGCAGTCCGTGCTTGTGTAAATGGTTACATTTCAGCAAAAAAACATATTAACAGATGCATGTGAAGACACTGTCAGTATTATGAAGATGAATTATAAGATTTAAACTTCTCAGCCAAAACCAGCATTCACTCATTCAACCTTTAATTTATACAGGTTAGTATCAGTGAGTCACGAGGACTCATTTACAAGAGAAACCTGTTAAGTTCACATCCATAAGCGAAAGCAGAGACATTTGGACTACAGCTGATGAGCTGTAATCAGTTATGAGGCTAACTTCATTATTATAAGGAAGAAATGAGGTATTCAGTTTAAAAGTGTTCTTCTACTAAAGGCGATTTTTAATCCAGATCTTACATGCACAAAGTATAAGAACTCAGTTTAACCTTTCCTTCACTTGTTTGTTGTTGATTGACTGAGGTGAGACAGTAAAAAAAAAAAATGTAGAGATTCAATAAGGAAGCAGAGTAATTGCATTAGAAGCCTGTCCAGGGCCCATCTAATCCCTGCCTCCTAAACCCTGCTGTAACAGAGTGTGCTAAAGTACTGTAATAATCTGAAGCCCTGAGCCTGAGGGAGAAGGGGTTTGTGTGTGTACTATTTATTTAAGATCCTCAAATCTCTCGAGCAAGAAGAGAGCTGCGGTTTCACGTCCTTAAAGATTACAGCTGCTGTTTGTGCACAGACATCCATGCTGCTTGTGTCTTCCCCAAGTACCCGAGGCAGAGGAAGGGAAGAGGTTAAGCATCTTCAGGAGGGTCGCACAGGGCACATCGTTCAGCTCCCCAATCTAGACTTGACTCAGCTGTGAACACATCTGTCATCATGTGTGTTTTTGTTGTAGAACGGGGGAGATATTGGAAAGAGGAAGTAAGGGCGTGTGTGTGTGTGTGTGTGAAGGAAAACCACATTTTAAAAGCAAGGCGTTCTTTAAGAGAAGTTCAGTAAATTTGTGTGATCTCTGCTAATGCTTACTCACATGCTTTGAGAAATATTGCCACTTTATATGATTAAAAGAAAGTCTGGCTCCTCGGAAGAATAACATATAGGATGAAGAGTCAGAATAACCATTAAACTTCCATATTAACTATGCTGGTTACTGTAATAGGGTTTAGTTTGAGTACATCTAATGATACATACAATGATGGACAGGAGTTTGCCATAGGTGAGGTGGGCTGGAATATGGTCAGGTTTGGCTTTAAGGGATGCTGTGTACCAATGTTCAGCCTCCTCCAGCCTGTTCAGCCTCATGTAGGCCTCCCCTGAAACCAACCACACGGCACAAATCAAGATCAGGCTCACATTAGAATCAAGAAAAAACTCAAACTACTTTGAAAAAATACCAAAGCTCATGCTCAATAATCCAGGTATAAAATCCAACAATGTTCAGTCACGTCATCTGGACGGTTTCTTTTTGTTGCTGAGACGTTTCGTCCTCCATCTAAAGGACTTCTTCAATCCGAGAAGCCACCTAACAAACTGATTCCCACAAACGGCATACTCCATATTGGAAAAAAAAAACCCAGTTTGCTTGTGCTAAAGATCATTGAGCACCACCATGAGCTTAGCACCAGAAGATTGTGTTTTTTTCCCACTATGGAGTATGCTGTTTGTGGGAATCGGTTTTTTAGGTGGCTTCTCGGATTGAAGAAGTCCTTTTTGTATGAAAGACAAAACATCTCAGCAACAAAAGAAACCGTCCAGATGACCTGACTGAACATTGTTGTACTTTAAAAAAAAAAAATTGTTGTACAGAGAATACAAGTAGTCTTGAGGCTCAGTCTAAATAAAGGTTGAATGAAAATATAAATCTAAATAAACTGAATAACATAACTTAAAATGGACTAATTCCCTTTTTGTTAAAAAGTGACATTTGGACACTTTATTATGTGCACATGCAGCTTCTGTTACAATTATCACGGTTTTCTATTTGTCCATCCCTTACTTGCATAAGAGTACTTTTTTTTTTTCCATGCATTCTTTTAGGCACAAATTAAACTCCTCAACAGGTGAGAATCTTGGTCAAGGAGAAAAAGAGTTTCTGCACAGTGATGGCTCTCACTTCAGTTTGTATCCTGAATCAGTTAGCATACCTTGACAGGAGCTCATATTTGGTTTTGATATGGATTATTTTTTATTTAGTTTTACTTATTTGTGCATTATAGCTGCATTAAAGAGAACTATTATTCTGAAAGTCTGCAATGTTTTTTTTTTTTTTTTTTTTTTTTTTTTTTTTTTTTTTTTTTTTTTTTAAAGAACTTTATTATGAACACAATTTACAAACAAACCAGGCAAACAGTGTAGTACAATATAATAAACAAATTTCACAGGTTGAGTTATTTACATTCAAAAGACATACAAGAAAAAAAATTAAAATAAATACATTAAAAAAAAAAAATAAATAAATAAATTTAGAGGTTTATATCAAATCAAACGTATTGATCAAATTATAAAGTTGTTGAGCAGATTTACTTTTAACCAATTTAAGAGACTCACAAAAAGATTTCAGGTTATTTTTCCAATGAGATAAATTTGGATTCACCTTAAAAAATCTACATTTATGAATAAAGTACTTTCCTAGTAAAATTATGTTATTAATTAAAAATTCTATTTTAGAGTTTTGAAAATAAACACCAAATTTTATTATTGTTAAAGTCAGATCAGGCAATTCAATTCCCTGGGTCTGAAGCCAACCCCACATACTTCTCCAAAAGTCTAGACTGACATTGCAGTTGAAAAAAAGATGATCTAAATCCTCCTCTTCATCATCACAAAATGTGCATCCAGCAGTATCAAACTTGAATCTAGATCTGATAAAAGCATTAGTTGGATAGATGTGATTTAGAATTTTAAAATGGACTTCCTTAAGTTTTGGAGGAAGTGGAAAAGAGATATATTTTGTCCT